TCAACCATAAAATGAGTTCGCGTGTCACCTCTGACACGCGTGTCATAGGTTCGCCACCACTGTCCTAGATCTAGTTTCTGTAGAACCTAATTAGAGCACTAGGAGGAAGTCTGACCAACAGTGCCACCCAAGGGCACCCTGCCTCTCTCTGACCCTCTCTGGGGACAGGCAGCTCACTACCTATTGTGGTACCTGCTGGATTCAGGGACTTCTCCAACTCGAGTTCTCTCACCCAGTGATGCCGGGTCACAAGTAACAAATGTGGGGCCTCTTTCATCAGATGGAGACAAAATCTCATGTTTCATAATTTTATAAAGAAAGCATCCCTTCTTTGTCTTATTTGATTCATACCCAAAATATAAACTCTACTTATGCACAGGGTAAAATTAAGATATTATTAAGTACTGAAAGCGAATAACTCTCTGTTTCCTTTAAAAGAAGTTTTACTTAGGGGAGTTAAAAAAACAACAACAACACTCAAGCAAAATCTCGACTTACTCCCAACTGTGCAGAGAGCGGGATCTACCTGTTCATTATGGGGCGTCACTATGGGGCATTCACAGTAGAAACACATGCCTGTGAGGCCGCTAGTCTTTCTGCCACATAGGGCTTTGGAGGTGATATAAAAATGTCATGCAGATTTGTCTGAAATGTGAAAAAAAGAAAAAGGAGTGAAGCCTAGATGAGAGGAAGAGAGGGGAAGATGGGAGCGTGAGCTGTGTGTGAACTGGCCTCCGGGCACCATGAAGCAGAAAAGCAGGGGGTGGGGATGAGAAACGTCACCGGCACCATAAGCCACCCAAAGGGAGAAACATGGCGATGGCTGTCACAGATTCGATGAGGCGTATGCCCATGTGCACCTCCACTTTGCCCGGCGCTCCAATTCATGGGCAGTGAGCGCCTCTGGTAACTCTATGAAACCAGCAGGATTATTTCTATTTGGAAGGTCTATTTGATACGTATTTTCTTTGGGGCCCTGGGAGATGAGATAGAATAGCCAGCTACGTAACTCACGTTAATGTGAAACGTGAATGCCACACATGTGGCATATTTAGGAAGATAAAGGGAAAGACTGGCATTTCCCTTCCTCCTTTCTTCAGATAGTCATCCTGCACAAGGTAAAGGAAGCAGCATGTGTTTCCAGTTCTTGGATCACATGTGGATGCATCCTGGAGAAGTATTCAAATGCAGTATAGTTCTCAGGGAACGTGAGGGAAATAACCAAAAGAACAATGCTAAAGTCTCTATCTTTGCTCAGGCATTAGCAAGACCAGTCTTGGAAGAGAAAGACAGAACACCGAACCAGGAAGGAGCGGGGCCGAGGGGCCGCCCAGGCAGCGTAGACACGGCTTACACTTCGAGGTGAAGTCATGCTTGGCCACATGCCAGTTTCCCTAGGCCCTAGGGAGACAGTCACTCTGAGATCCACGTGGAAATGAATATGAATATTCAGAAGCAATGTACTAACGTAGATGGTGTGAGTGTGTGTATCTGTGTGCCTATAACATTCCCCATCATAAACGGTCTCTCTGGTGCTATCACTCTTGTGCTATCTTATCATAGAAAATTCCTTCTTAAGGAATTTCTTTCAATTTCTCACTTTCAATGTCTTTTTTAAAAAAATAATACAATGTTACTTTATTTCTAAAATACATTTTTATTGGTTTCAGAGAGGAAGGGAGAGGGAGAGAGAGACAGAAACATCAATGAAGAGAGAGAATCATTGATTAGCGGCCTCCTGCATGCCTCCCACTGGGGATTGAGCCTATAATCCAGGATTGTGGCCTGAACGAGAATTGAATCGGGACCTCCTGGTTCATAAGTCAATGCTCAACCATTGAGCCACGCTGGTCAGGCTCAATTTCTTTATTTATAAAACAAGGAGATGAACTAGACCGAAAGCAAACTATGGTCCATGAAATAACTCTGACCCGCCACCTGATTTTGTAAATAAGCCTGAACTGGATCACAGTCCCGCCCAAGTATTATTGGCGGCTGCTTTCAAAACGCACAGGCAGAGTTGAGCAGTTGTGTCAGAAGCCCTACAGTGTGCAAAGCCTAAAGTCCTCACTATCTGGCCCTTTCACAGGAAAACGTACCCACCCTGAACCACACTGTCACTAACACTGATTTCGGCAAAACGTATCTTTTTTTTAAATTGAAAAGGGAAGCTGAACAGCCGGTGTCTGGTCTTGCTTTAGTCCTGCTGTTGGAAGGATAACAAGCAGACAGCTCAGGACAAACACAGCTTGGGTTCCAAATGGGCAGAGCTGCTTTCTCTGTGCACTGAGACTTCCGTGTGAATCTCCTTGCTCAGAGCAAGGACATGCTTCTCCCAGAGGGCAGGCCTCCCCTGGACTGAGGTGCTGCTCTCTGTGCGGGGGACCTGCTCGCTCTCAGGGCGCCAGAGCAGCCCGGTCAGGATTTTCTACAAGGAGGCCTTCGGAGAGCAGCTGGCTTCCTGGACAAGGAGGCCCGGGCAGACTGTGCATGGCCACGCAAATGTGAACAGAATCCAGCCAAGTAGCCTTAGGACCTAATTGGCTCAGAGACAGGAAAGTCAAAATGTCACAGCCAAAGCGACAGCTGGCGGTAGCTTAGAGAAGAAGAGGCATTATCTTCAACTCGGAAGTAACGACACAGAAAGGGCACCGCACAGGAGTCCGAGGCCTGCACGCCTGGCCGGGAGGCTGCGTGCTCTCGGTAGGTCATTGCCTTTCCTGTGCCTTGCTTTTCTCGGCTATAAAATGGAAAATCAATTCACTGTTAAGCCTTGCTTGCTTGCTTCTTTGTAATGAACCCGTACAAACACCACAAAACGGGAGACACAAAAAAATAGGACAAGGTCCCTACTCTTCAATCTGATCATAACGTACAGGGTCTAGCATATGCCCAGCTCCCAAGTCGCTCCGGTGACTGTCAGCGGTAGTATCCAGGCGGATGCTGGGTGCACCTGGCTTGTGATTCCCCTCCTACAATGTCACCCACACCCACCTTCCTGCCTGCACAGGTTTGTGTCAGTTCAGGCCTTGCCTCTCCAGGTCCGCCTGCTGAGTCCAGTCACAGTGCCGGGAGCTCACTGTCCCAACTGACCCCCCACCTCTGAGCTCCTGCCTCCCCAGCTCAGTCTCCATTTGTCCGCTAGCTCTGTCTGCACAACCACCAACCATGATACCCTTCCCTCAAAATCTCCTTTCCTACAAAAGTCCGTCCAAATTCTTCTGCTTGGCATTTGAAGCGTGGACAAGCCGTCTCCAGCCCACCTCCCAGGCTCATTTCCCCTAGGGGGCCTTTGTGTCCCCAGCCCACCCGGCCCCCTTCCCTGCTCCTGGGCGCCTCCGCTCTGCTCTGATGTTCGAGACCCTAACTCACATTTGAAAGCTCAGCTCAAATGTTCTCCGTTTTATTCGGGATTCTCAGCTTCCGCCCACTCAGCGGCCCCTTCTTGGTTTCAAGCTCAGGTACATTTTTATTTTTCTATCACAAGTGTGTGCTCGGAGCATCCTGAAGTAGAAGTTTCAGCTCAAAGGTTTCCCTCCTAGGACGGCCTTCTTGATCCTCCCAATTCTCCATACCGGGCTCCCGACCCCAACACACACTCCCGCAACCCTCCTGGCATTTCTCCTCTAGACATCCCTTCAGTAACTTCCATCCATGGGGCAACGGGCCGAAACGGTCCTTGCTCTCCACGGGGCTGAAAGGAACACCCAGAGTCGATGCTCCGTAACTCCTGGCTGATGCTGATGAAGATCCTCAGAACTGTCTGCAATGGCCCCTGGGAGCCGTGGGTGCTGCACATCTGTGTGATCAAGCTGGCTGCTGCTCCTCATCCACAATCAGCACCAAACACAGAGAAGGCACTGCCTCCGTTTCACCCCCACATCCATGCCCAGGCCCAGAATTCAACGTCTTTACATTTCACCCATAGAATCCACTCACATACAAGCACAAGAGGGCAATGGAGACAACTGGAAACTTGGGCAGGGGTAGGAGGGAGACAAGGGTGGCGGCTATACAGCACAGCCCACAGCCATGCCACCTTCAGGACCTCATTATACACCCAGAGCGGCCAGTTTTTCCTGGACCGTGCCCTCTCTATCTTCCTGCATGCAGCAACTGCCTGGATCGTTTCTCTCTCCTCTTTCCTCCAAAATCCCAGCTTTAAATCTCTCTCCTTTTTGTCTTGCTACCAACTGACATCAGCCACGGTTTCATACCCAGAGCCTTAGAAGGCTCAGCTCATGAGGGGTCCCCCAGATAGCAGAGCCCCGTGCCCCCGAAGGCTGCTTGGCCACCACCTTTGTCACTCCGGCATGGCATTTTGTGCTTACTCCTTCCCTCAAGCTGTCTGCAAGTATTTTTCCCAAACATGAGGTAGATTCGATGGTGAAATGTTCACCAGCTCCCTCCATCTGCAGTCACCTCCTCGCTGAGTTTTTGCCATGAAATGTCAAGGGAGATAACGTCCACTTTCCAGCATCCCTGCCTGATCTTCGATCCATGCGGCCATCAGGACATCCCCATTCACTCTGTCTAGGAGTCAAGTGACTTGTGACCAAGCCCCATTCTCAGGGCCAGGAAGGGCAGCCCATATAAAACAGCTCCCAGAATTACAAGAAGAAATTATTTGAAATGCAAATCCTTCTCAGGGAAACTCCTGACCCAGAGCAGACCCAAGAAAGCCCATGGGCAGGGCTCCCCGAGGGAAGGGCCCACGTATGTCTGGAGCATGGCCTGGCCAGGGACCAATTTGTGTTTGTTTGTCTGGAACTTTTCCTGCCTTTGCACCGAAAGACCCATGTCCAAGGTACCCCCATTCCCAGGCGAACTGGGCTGGTTGGTCACTACTGGTCACTACTATGATCCTTGCCAAGAACCAGAGGTCATGAGGCCAATGGGTGAAGCCAAGCTCCATACATGCCGATGAGAGAGAAAGCAGGACAAAGGGATCATGGACCAGGCAGCAGGCCTCCTCGGTGAGGAGGGAGTTGAGGACTCACCAGAACTCGGCCGGTCAGTGTCTGGGCAGAGATCATCACCCCCGCCCAGTCCTTCACGGAGGTCATCCAGCCGACCTCGGCTGCCACCACCTCCTCTTTCTCGTCCACTGGTTTGAGAGTGCCATCAGCCTGGCTGGAGCCATTGTTAATCTTCTGGGCCTCCTGGCAACAGAGAGAACAAGGGTTGAGACATTTTAAAAAAACGGAGACCTCAAAAGATCAAAGGGTCCTGTGTTCAGGTATGAACTGGCTTAGAGGTTCAGGGGTAGGGAGGAAGGATGGGTTGTGGTTTTAATCAGTTTTTTAATTTTTTTAATCTTTTATTTATTCTTAAAGTATATTTGTGAAACAATGACATTATTCTCTTTCTGTTTTAAAGAAAAAAAAGCCACACAGCTCAGGAGACGGGGCAGGCATCTTGACTGGGGTCTCTCTCCACCTGCCCAACCTCTGTGCCCTTCTCACGTTAGTGCCCAATCTTTTCCTTAAGGAAATCCCCCTGTCCTCATCTCCATCTGTGCGGTTCAAAAGGGGCTGAGAGACCCATACTGGCTCCAGGAACTGGGACTGGTCAATCATATCATTCCATCCCCCCAGCAACAGTGACTGGACAACGGATGGTCACAGGATCCACGCCAACCCAATACAACTCAAGCCCAGGACTTTTGCTGGGAAAAGTAGGAAAGGTGATCCTTCCCTGAGAATGAAGGCAGCACAGAAAAGTGATAAAATACTGATGTCATCATTTGAACACCTGGATCCAGCTATGCCTGAAATCCACCCCAGACCTTTTCACTTATAGGAGATAATCAATTCCCCTTCATATCCTCAATGTGCTTGAGGACATAAGGATGACATCCTCAGATAACTGGGCCCCACCCTGGGCCCTAAATTGAACTCTTTTGCATGCAATGTGTCCTCTCTCCCCACAAATACTCTTCTCCCACAAAGGGTCACAACTTGCTCCCTCAAGTCTTTGCTTAAATATCATCTTTTCAATGAGGTCTTCTGTGGCTACCCTTTAAAAATTACAAGTCTGGCTTCCTACAGCACAGCCGTTCTGCTTTATTTTTCTCCACAGCATTCAAACCTCTAATACACTCTATAATCCAGTTACCTACTTCATTTACTGTCTGCCTCCCCCAACTGCTGTATCATGAGTGCCTAAATGAGTGCCTGGCAAACAGTTGGCTCAGTGAACAGAAAGAAGAAAGAAAGAAAGAAAGAAAGAAAGAGAGAGAGAGAGAGAGAGAGAGAGAGAGAGAGAGAGAGAGAGAGAGAGAAAAGAAAGAAAGAAAAAAAGAAAGAAAGAAAGAAAGAAAGAAAGAAAGAAAGAAAGAAAGAAAGGAAGAAAGGAAGAAAGAAAAGGAGAGAGGGAGGGAGGGAGGAGTTATGAGTATCAGCCCCTCACTGACTATGGAACCTGGGTTTAGGGTTGCCAAACAAAATACAAGACACCCAAAGAAATTTGAACTTCCGATAAACAACAAATAAATTTTCAGCAGAAGTATACCCCCAAATATTGCATGGACATACTTATACTAAAATGTATCCATTATTTATTTAAAATGTAACTGAGCTGAGCCCCTTACTCCAATACCCACTGACATTATTTTTGTAGATACAGATATGTCGAAAGATGCCAACAAAATTATGTTCATCATTTAAAGGACTAGAATGCAAACTGCCCCTGGAAACCACTGTGAATGGGAGTGAGGGGAAACCAAAGGCAGAGGTAAAAGTCTTTGTCTGCAGTGAGCAAGGGTGGGGCCGAGTGAGGAGAGGAGAGCTGGGAGGCACTGATGAGTCATCCTCCTGGGGACCCGCAGGCAGGCAGGCAGGCAGGCGGGAAGCTGCTCCGAGGCCTGCTCTCCCCATCCTGGCTGGGGAGCTGGGAAGAGAGAAGCAGCACCAGCAACACGGGTGCCCATGTTTTATTTCCAAGTGAGCTGGGCCCCACAGAGCTACAACAGTCCAAGAGGGGGCCAGAAGTAGAGGTGGTATATTTGGGGGCCACCTGCTGACATCTGTGGAGCCCAATGCCTGAGCCACCTAGGGCCAGTCTCAGTGGCCTGGTAGGACCCCAAGTGTCAGCCATGTGCAGACTCTGCACGGATGGGTGTCCTGGAGGAGGAAGCCCTAGGTTCAGGGGTAGCCTTAGTAACTGAGGGTGCAGATTCAGCTCCCCCACCCCTGTGGGACCTGCCCTGCAAGATGGGGCAATATTGCCTGCCCACCAGCGTGATGGGGATGAAACAGCACCCACGGGCACTTCATACACATTCAACTACTGACTCCCACAGCCTCCTGCTTCTCCTCCAGCCGCAGGCACTCCAGCAGTGGCTCTCAGACGTGAGGGGGCTCAGAACCACTTGGAGGACTTGTTACCCCAATGCTGGGCCCCACCCCGCACCTGTATTTCTGACAAGTTCCCAGGTGATTCTGATGCTGTCTGTGGTCTGGGTGCCCCACTTTGAGAACCCCCGCTCCTGTTCATCTGGCATGGCTTGGTCATCCCCGCTCTGATCTGAACTGGGGCCTGCATCTGAACACCCAGCCCTTTCCCAGCCCCGCCCTGCACCCGGCACAGAACCGCCGGTTTCTTCCAGAACCAGAGTGTCTGGGTGGACAGGGAGGAGCTGGGCTGGGAGAAGGCCCTCAGATCAGAGGTTTTTGTGTTTTCTCTTGAAATGTCCCAGGGACATTTCTGACCTTGTCCTGGGGGGTGACTGAAGGGCTAAGTCTCTGCTCCTCAACCCGTGGGGTTAGGCTGCCAGCCACCAGGCCGACCCTGGTGGAGGGAGTCGGCGTGAAAAGGGCTGGGGGGCAGCAAGTCCTCTCCAGTCACAGTGCTGCTTCTCTCTTCCCAGCTCCCCAGCATTAATCATTCACAGCACAAGCATAAATGGCAGATAATGCTCTCTGGCCAGCCCTCTCACCTATTGTTTCACAGGCATTCATTACCTAATTATTTTATGGTAGGCAAAGAAAAGCACAGACCAAAGGGAGATAATGCCCTTGTTATTATTTGCTTACACTGGATGCTGTGAGCTTAATTACAGGGTGGGAGGCAGGTCTGGGGGAGTGGCAGGGAGAGGGAGGGAGGAGGCTGGAGCCCCACAAAGCCTGGTGCCAGCGGGCCAGGCTGTGCTCCTGGCCCAGAGGAGAGGGCCTCTGCACGCTGACCTCCCTCTGGCCCAAGCATCCCTTACAGGGAGCAGGGACTGTAACCCCATGCTCTGGAGAAGGTGGCTGGGACACACAGCGGGGCGGAGAGGTAAGGCACCAAGTCCACTGTAATTGTGACCGGCCACCACTCATTAAGCCAGGCTGGGTGTCAGCAGCTACCAATTAGGTGCTTTCTATGCATGATCCTGATGGGAGCTTATAATAAATCCAACAGGAGGTGGCATTCACCCCATTTTACAGACAGGACAACTGAGAGCAGGTATCTCAGGGGAAACAGAGAGCCTGCCTAGGCTTAGGTGCCCCCTACCCACCCACCCCCACCCCCCACTGACAAGCGGACTGCCATGGGCATGTTAGCTCCCAAGCCTCAGCCTCCTCCGTGTGAAGGGGACAGGCATGCCGGCCCATTAAGGTGGTGGCACAGCTTACGTGAGACAAGCCATGCCCAGAGCTTGCCGTGGTGTCTGGCATGTGGCAGTTAGAGCTGCCGAGACGGAGTGCCCACTGCCCACTGGTGGGACTGGCTGCCCCTGAGGATACAGTGGAAGCGGCACCACTGCAGGTTTCACTGGCCCAGAGGGAAACCGTAATAAACACTTACAGAGCGGAGGATAAACGGTGTCGGTTCTAACGGCTTTGACTTTTCACTAGGTGGTGGGCCCCTGGGATGTAAGGTCCCTGACTTCCAGAGGGGTTCCAGCAGGAGCTGTGTGGCACCCCAGAACAGCGGTTCCCACACAGAGTGAGCCCTGGACCAAGTGACCCGAGATCCCTTCTGATTCCACGTTCCATTAGATCACCCTCCCACTGGATTGAGGAGACAGGACCACAGGGAGGTGTCCTGCTGGACCCCAGGAGTCTGCCTCAGGGGGACAGCGCTTGGTCCCCAACCTCCACTTCCCACTGCACAGGAAAGAGGTGACAGGGCCCAGGTTTGGGTGCAGGGGCCACAGCAGGGAGCAGCCCGTGTTGTCCTCAAAGGACTAGCTTTCCCCAGCAGTAGGAGTGGCCCTGACCCAGCACCAGAGAGCCGACCCATTGTAATCCCAGGACCCCCCAGACCCACCCTCAGACCTGGGCCTTGTCTACCTCTGTCCTTCCTGAATTAGACCTAGTATGCGGGGTTGTGGGGTGCAGGAAGAGCTCTGAGGATGGAAGGATACCTACTACAGGCCCAGCTTCTCTGCATGTCCTTGGACAATTTCTCTAAACCTCTTCTGTGGACAGGGATGAGTGCAGCCTTGTAAGCTGCACGGGTGGAACCCAGCACTTTCTGAAGCACCCACCGCCTGGTGAAGGTGGGCAACGCCAGCACTGCCGCCCCCTGGCTCTGAGCAGGAAGCAGTGCTGCTCTGGAGAAAGGGGTCCCGGACCCCAAAGCCAGGCTCACACAGCATACGGTTCAACAGACTCCCACCCACCTGTACCTTGCAGAGCAGGGCCCGTTTACTGCCCTGCACCCCAACAAGATGCTGGGATTGCCAATCCTGCCAGGTAACCACCATGCTGGCCACACCCTCCCTGTGAGCAGCCACCACGCCTGCTCCTGCCCAGCTGGACTCACTCACCCCGGGCAAGCTCCCACCCACACCTGTGAGGCCAACCAGGTGCCAAGGCCCCCCTGGGCACCACACCTGCTGAGTGACTGCAGCGGGGGGTCAGGGGCCAGCAACCAGGAGGATTCCAGAGCCCCCTCGCTGCTCCCTACTGAGGCTGCCCCCAGATAGGAAGTCTGTCCCAGGTTTAATCGTCTCGGTTCTTCAAACACTGGCACCTCATCCCAGGTCTGGAAAATTGCTTCTGCACTGATCATCCGGGAGGAAAGCTACTCTTAAAAATGTCAATCACATCATGTCACTACCGTGCCGACACCCTCCTGGGCCTTCTCGTCCCAATCGCAGCACGTCACAGACTTCACTCCGTGCAACCCTGCCAACCCAACCTGTCCCACTCCTGCCACCATCCCACGAGAC